TAGAGATGTCTTGCTGGGCAAATCGGAGAAATGTAATGCTGGGGTGCAATGTAGACGATCAACTATCTAACCATTCTCATTTCTATTGGCAACTCTTTGGACATTTGTTCTGCTGACGGTTGTACAATTACTACCCGTTGTACAATTAGCTTAGCTACCCGTTGTACAATTTTGTGCCCACTGTATTTTTGGTAAAGACGCTAAAAATGGGCGTCACAAAAGCTTCTATATGTAGTGACAACACTGGGCAAAATGTGTACACCGTGATTTGAGCTCTGACATCAGAGGTGTTGTGTCTATAGTCTGGCTAATTCTGTTTTCTACGGTTATAGGTATTGCCCTGCATAAACAAACATGACGCCATTTATGACACATTTCCTAGAAACTTGCTACTCTTTCGTGACTTGGATTAAGAGATTTGCAGACGCATTCATCATCACTGTTGTTGTGTAATCTTCATCGGAGGTGTCGTATTTTAGGAGGGGCTGAGAAGGAGGGGGGGGCATATAAGCCCAGACATCGGTCAACACCGAAAAACAGCGCATCATTGATAAAGTCGTTCTTGATGGAAACGGAAATAGAGTGACTATAGCCAGGTGCACTGCGAACGAAGGGGCATGTCAGGCGGGATGAGTATGGCGGCGTGTGCACGAGCGCATTCTCCACCAGTTGTTTAGGCAAGTAATAGCAAGACTCCTTTTATCACTCACGCTTTTTTCTATCAGCTGTTGTTGTCGCAACCGCTTCAACAACTGGCAGACAACGGTGCCGTGGCACACTTATACTGCCTGACACGCCCCTTTCGTTCGCAGCGAACTAGAGTATAAATATTGCAAAATGAAGCAAAACGGGGTGAAGGGGACGAAAGCGCGCGACATGATCCTGTAAGCGACGACTTCATGCAAGAAGTAGGCGAGCATCCGCCTAACATAGGTCGTCACTAGCAACTCGGATAACGGATCAAGGCGGGCAAATAAGGGTGATTGCAATATATGCGCGAAAAGAGAATTCCAAACGCCTTAAAGCAATATCAAAGAGCGTCTGCAAACAAGTGAGGATGCACTCATGGCATAGCCATGGAACGCCTGTCGAAGATCTGAGAATTAATTTACTAACAATCAAATAATCATAAGGCGCCAGACTCCCAAAACGCGTATTACTGGCAGGAAAGCCTCAACTCCAGTGAATGGAAAAGCATCAATTAGCAGCAGATTCAAAACAGGTGAAACTGCTGCTGCAGTTAATCATCGTTGGGTGGACTGCCATTTGTACACGAACGGTTCTCGACGTAGGGCCACCCAGATTTAAAGCTTTGTTGTGCAGGGTCAGGCATAATGTTTTGAGAAACTGGCCACGCTACGACCCCCACTCACGAAGAAATGCCCGTACGCTCCCCCCCCCCCCCCCACCTCTACGCGACTACGTAGCTGAACTTGGTACTTGAAGTATAAATTGTAAAATCTCCGCCGTAATCAATCTCTTTCGAATGCGGCACGCATTCTACTTCCATTCAGAATCGTAGTGGCTTATTGAATGCGATGTGGCCTATACAATGACTTGGGGGCCAGCCGATGTACAAGTCAGTGTTCTTATCCTCCCAGACGAATCTGGTACCAATTTATCCGTCCCTGAGGGGGGAAGGGGTAAAAGGCTTGGTTGGCGTGGGCGGGAACCGGCTCGACATCCCCGGACCGTGTCAGCGTGGTAAGCGTGCTACTTGTCACTACACCATTGCCTCAGCCATCTCAAAACGAGCTAGCTTCGCACGCAGACGATGTGATTTCTGCTTTCAACAAAATGCAGGAAGAATTTTTCGGTTTATGAAGGATGCTTGGAAGAATGTATCTCAAAACCGACAAGCGTCACAGAAACTTCATCGCAAACATGTGTTCACCTGGATTTAATGATTATTCGGCCGAAGCTCTCTAATATCATTTCAGCATGTTCACAGTGTGGGATCTAGCCGGAGTGAGCGTATCTGTGAAAACGTTTCGGTAAGCATTGAGAATCGTTGGATCGAACAAGTGAACCCGGCGCCATCACGAGAAGAGTAATGTATGCATCCATTTCGCTGACTTCGCCCGAATGAACAGTGTGAAAGACAGAAAATAAGCTTCGTAGGTTCGGTGCCGATTCATCTTCTTCGATAGCAATACGTAGTAGACCATTGCGCAGATGCCTTCCGCAACGTCGCAGAAAGGGGGCTTTATCCCAGAAGACGAATATTCAAAGCTTGACAGCAGTACTTTCTGGTACTTCATGACCGGAATGGTGAATAACACGATAACAGGGTACATATCAATCAGGCATAGGAACAACTCCGTATTGATTTGAACACATCCAATTCATTGCACATGCTCCTGAAACTGCAAACAGCATCATTCTCTACACTTCATGAAGCAAAAGACAATCCGAAACTGATGCAAAGAAAAAGAGGAGATGAATGGCATCAAAGTGACCTATGAAGTTTAAAACGCTGTAATCTCAGGAACAACATTTGCAACCCTTACATTCGTTAGAGCTCCAACAGCAAGTATGGAAGTAGCCACGAGGGAGTCGCGCTTCGCCTCAAATAACGATGAGAACCTAGAAGGCGAATTTTAGACTTTCTGCGACCATAACTTGAAGAATAAGACCAAGGCAAAACAACCGATACGAAAAAGAGAAGCTTCCCCCTTCTGATATCATAAAAATCGCCGCAGGAAATCCATTAATCCTAAATCCGCCGTGGATGATTTTTTTTCCAACAACGATAAACTTTGGAAATACGGACTTCTAAAGCTTTTCCAGGAGATCATAGGCAACACACAGGGCGAAAAGAAAACCGGTGGCGAAATAAGAAATTCCATCAAGTCTCTCAAAAGGTGTTATTTGAAAAATCCGTGCGAGGCTTCTCCCCCGGAAGGGGAAGAAACATTTGCGCCCAATTTTCATCCATTTAATGAAGGACACCAAAAAAATAACTTGCACATACACTTTTAGTGAATCAAAAATAGTCAGAAACTGATACCCACTGTACTCTTAAGTCTCGAATAATCTGCTACATCACAATTATCAGCAAACCAATAATATGGCGCGTTTTGTTATTGTCTACTTTTATAATAATCATACTGGATTAGTGTAGGTAACTATTGAATACTTACAAGACATATGCCAGAATCCATCAGGTGATTGAATTTAGATCCTTCAATTAAGGCGAAAGAAAAAGTTGTTCCCCCAGGTAAAGCACCACGACACTGCAGAAAAGAAACAATAGCGTCGACAAGCATGGGAGACACCACCCCCCTTCTTCGCCAGACTCGCTCCAGTGACTATCATGTTTTTGGCTTCCACATAGAGGTCGGCGATTTGAAAATTAATGCCTTTGGACACGAACTAAAACATTTCTCATCCCGGAACAAGATTTTACAACACATGTGGGTGGAATAATGCTCTTGGTCTAGATGGGAAAGTGTATATTGCTGAGGTAATTATTTTTCGACATAGAAATCAATTCAACACCGTTTATGTGTATTATTTTGCTTATCTTCAAAGACCGTGCGAACTTTTGGTTCCTGATCTAAACGAAATGTTGCTGTAAATTGAAAGAGAAGTTCTTCAAACTGTGAGAGCGAGAATTCCATTCCATTTCCCACAGCTCCTTCAGAATCTGAAGCGAATGCGAATGCCTACAATACACGTTTTCTACCTGTGACTGATGTATTTTGATGAGTAGAGGGACTGCCATGGAGTGCGCCAGCTAACGATTGCTTTTCCCGGTAAACACCTGAAGTAATGTTGGTTCATGAAACTGCTGTGTGACTATGAGTATGATGACCCACTTCCTACAGTTACGAGCACGTGCGTGCACTTCCGTGATGGGGATATGTTTTTTCGGAGCCCCCGCTATTGTTCTGCCTCTAACCCATATCCCGCCCTGCCCCCCCCCCCTTGTCACAGTTCCATTAACTGATTTTTCCAGATAAGATCTCACTTCCACCGAGCCTGACACTGCCCCTCAACCCGCCGATGAGGATTCCTCTACATACGCTTGAACGCTTGACCGTGTTGCTAGCACACTTTAAAAGCAGACTGCGCGGTGAGCCATCGAAAAAATTCGCAGGTGGAGGGCTCAGAAACAGAATGTATAAACTAGTTGTCTTGCCCGTGAAAAAAAGGATTGAAAGCCGCTCAAAGGCCCTGCTAGTGCGCATCAAGAGAAAAGAACTGATTTGGTCTAGGGGCGAGAGGTCCAGAGAAAGCAGCGAGATAGCATGCAAACAAGCAAGACAGCAGATAAGTCACCTATCGACGTGGGCGGAGTCACTTGAACCTTAAGTCTTACCGCCGTTACTACCACTTTCTGACGTGAAACTTATACAGGATTGTTCGTTGCAGTCCACACTACCTCCTTTATGAAGACCTTAGATAATCACAACTGATAGTGGGTGTGCCTTTGAGTCCGCCATTCTTTGAACAGTGCTAAACCTAGCGCCTACTCTGGGGCTGCGTGTTGTTTCGTAGTTAAATTACCGTGCCCATTACCTTTAAGAACGCATTCCACGACAAAGGAATGAGCGTAGAATTATAATCACTTCCCTCATTGCTGCACCTTTCCTCCTAGCTCCTACAGTGGAGAGTGTAGGGTGTACCAATGAAGAAGGCGCAATAGTTATGAATCTCCGCCCACTCGATTATCGCGAATCTCTCCATGAAAACAGAAAACGACCAATGTTTGAGATGCACAGCAGAAACCTCACTTTATTAGCAAAGGAATTTCAAGCATTTTTACTTTATTCTTGGAATTACACCACTACAAAAAATGTACAACCATAATTCCACACGTTTGATGAGAACGCATTTTGAAAATTCAGTCTGAAAAGATCTGATAAATATTACTAGCCTACCATAAAACAACCCATGCAGTGTTTTGGCTTTCATGAGTTCAAAAAATTAATAGACACAGGGGAACCATGACACCCACAAACAAGATGATATAAAAAAATCAAGAGCTATGTACATCATTGCAATCGTACAGTGAAAAACGCATGTACAGAAATCTGTAAAAAAAAACATAAATAACAAACAAAATCTATGCCAATGTTTAGCAAACAACATACGACAACATGAAAAAATTACAGAATATGAGAACACCTTGCTCACAGAACGATACGGTAACCAACAGGAGCAGGTAGCTCCGGCGCTCCAGCTATTCTGTACATTGGTCGGCTCCTGTTGAGGAGTCGGTTTATGGCTCGGAAGTCCTGCACATATAGACAATTCAGAAACCAAAAGTACATTAGTAAAATCAATACAATGTTGACAGAACTACAACTTACTCGAGCGGGACTTTGGGTTATTTTGTAACGGACGGAAGGCCATGTCCCGATGGATATATGGCAATTGACAGAATGGAACAACGGTAACCTAGAAACAGTTTCACGTTTCAGTTCCTGATTAGATAAACCAATGAACTGCTAGCAAGTTCCAATGGCCCTCATATAAAATGGATTTAATCCCCGGGCCATGCGCGTGGTAAGCGTGCTACACCCGCCCCACTACACAGTCTCTACATTTATAGAACAGAAATTACTTGTTCATCTTGACTGTCTCCAGTTGTCTACCGCACCGAGTTGTAAATAATATAAAGAACAAAATAACATGATTGTCAAACAAAGGACAGTAATGAACCCTTAATGTACAGTAACGATACCCAACGCTCAAACTTTTCAGAATCAAGAGTGTTAATTCCCAGCTGAGAAGCATCGAGTAGCACCGCCCAACCTAGGTAGTTCCACGAAGCCCGTCATAGATTGTGTCCCACCCGAACCAACCATCCTTTCACCCCCGCCCACTTCTTAAGTTGTCGCCATAATTGCTTCGAAGGAAAAGAGCAGAGTCTTATAGACTAGCCCCGCAAATCAGTCTGTGGGCCAAATGGTTAGAGCATCACAGCGATCTGGAATGGTGGGTGAGTGCGTGGCGTACACCAGAAGGGTTTGATTAACGCCAAAATTGTTATATAGGGTTCAGCAACCTGATTCCAGGTGAGACTGTATATACCCTCCCTGACTATGCAAGAATATTACGCTCTACCTCATAGGAAAAGGGGTACCAAATTTTTTATAGAGCACCCCAAAGTCAAATATTGGGGCAATAACATTACCTTATCCGAAAGACTTCTCTTCAGCGGTGTTCCTCGAGGGATCCGTCGTGCGGGCATCGGTGATAGGCTTGCCAACGTCGAGTTTTCGCTCAAGTTCCTCACATACTGTTCTACCCTGAAGAATTAAGTACCTATATTCACCCGGTAAATGTGTAATATTAGTATCGACCGCAGTCGTCGTCTTCCATCGTTAAGAACTAAAGCAAAGATCCTTTCCTACATTTATCAACAAAACTCACCGCGGTAAAAACACCTTGTTGTAGTAAACAATCAGATCAACACGATGTTCAGACGTTGACTGTGGCGGCTCGGGGGTGGTGGGAACCAGCGCAGGTGCTGAGCCATCAAGCACAATTGGCACGTCAGGAGTTGTTTTAACTACTGAGTGACTTCGAAGCTCCTGCGAGTTGGCAGCGGAAGAGTCGTTAGAGTCGCTTCCTTCGTCACGCCGAGAAGTCCCATTCGATGGACAACTGCAATATCAGACAGGAACTTCTAAGACTTTAGAGGGATTCAGTTCATCATTTTCCAGAATTTGGAAAGGCGATAACGTTTCAGCACTATCAAGGACTACGGTGACTAACATGCTAGGATCCACCCGAACCATACGATAAATATGCGAGTGAGATTGTGGCTGGTTACGGTAGTGGGACATGATGTCGACAAATGAAACGTCCGCCCTGTTCACTTTGCACACAACGTAGCTGAAATAAAGAAAACATTGCTAAGATGTACATAATGGTATCCACACCAGTTTAATGAGATTACTTATGGTCTTGGTCGCAACAGTTTCACATTAAGGTACCCACCATGTACGTAGGCTGCCTTTTATATTTCGGGATTCGGCAACCCCAGTGTTGCAATCTGGCAGCTGACAGCTCTATCGTAAAGTTTGACCTTTTTGAGGTTATACGTACTCAGAACATTTTGACATATGAGCGCTATTTGTGTTGAACATGAAACACGTGAAAGAGGCGCCAAAAAATTTATTGCAAAAAACTCAAAAGACTCAAAAGAATTCTTTTGAGTCTTTTGAGTTTTTTGCAATAAATTTTTTGGCGCCTCTTTCACGTGTTTCATGTTCAGATTACAATGAGGCTCCGGGACAGCACCATACTAAGTCTTTGTGTTGTTTTACCTATTAAAGGCAGTTGGCACGATAAATCGCTATACAGGTGTAGGATTTGTACAACTGGCTTAACAGAATTCCGTGACCTCGGACAGGCGCTGCGTGAAGCCTTTTCCAAGGAGGGTACCTCTATAACGCCCTATTGAGCAACAACTTTACGTCCCAAACGCCTTCCTTGCCCGCCCGCCCACAAACGGACGACCGTTTCTGACGCTCGTATTCATTCATGCTGAGCAAATTATGAAGCAAAGGATTGGTATGAAGCGGCGGTGATGCTGCATGCATATAGGGGTACAAATATACAGCCGTATCTTCGGTAGCGGTGATTGGTAATGCGTACGGGAAACTCGTCCGAAATCGATTTACAAGTCACTGAGATTGGAGGCTTTTTCTTCGCCGGATTTTGACCGTTTCACTCCGTTCTTTCGCCATTTCCCCACTATACAGCGCCCTACTAGCATTTTAGGCTAAGTATGGAAACATCGTGCCAACTGCCTTTTAAAACTATTTTGGTCGGCCGTTGGTGAGGACAACATGTTTGGTTTTCAACGCGAACAAATTTTTTTGACAGTCAAATGTTCATGCAATATTGAATGTATGCTGGTCCGAGACAACCTTAAGCTTCAAGGGGACCAGCATACATTCAATATTGCATGAACATTTGACTGTCAAAAAAATGTTCTGAGTACGTATAACCTCAAAAAGGTCAAACTTTACGATAGAGCTGTCAGCTGCCAGATTGCAACACTGGGGTTGCCGAATCCCGAAATATAAAAGCAGCCCACGGTACACCGCCAGCGGAAGCATCATATGAGAACAAAAACAGCAACGCTATGGATTGAGGAAAGAAGTTAGCAAACAATTTAAAGGCGAATTGCGCGACTGGCAGAGTCGTGTAGGCCCCTTCACATAGCATATGGCCGGTTGTGCAGCCGAGCAGCTTTTGCAGCTTGAAGGGGACTGACAATGGCGTTTGTACCCATCACAAGCACTAGGCTTATACTCTAATTCGCTGTGGACGAGGGGGCGTGTCAGGCAGCATGAGCGTGCCACGGCGCAAAACCCGATCTCTCCCAGGTGCAACAACAACTAGAGAGAAAGAGTGATACGAACGATATGGCACAGTTTTGTCACTTGCTCGCTTATGGGAACTGGTGGGGAACGGGCATGGCACCGCTCCAAACTCATCCCGCCTGCCAGGCTCCTTTATTCGCAATGAACTAGACTAGAATACAGGGGGGGCCAAAAAAAAAGTCATTCCGGCCGAGTCACATATGAGCGAAGTTTTCGCAGCCCAGACAGAGGAAGTGGATATGAGTACCAGGGCGGAAGATACCCAAGATCTTCCTCTATAAGCTGGAGCAGGCTGCCGCCAATCGCCTTCATGTACGCCAAAATATGAAGTCATCTCCAGTCGCGGCCTGACTGGAGAACACCTTTGGAATTCACGTCGCCTCCAAACAGCTGCGAAACTTCTTGAATGAAGTCATCCACAGATAGCTACCTGGAGGTCAGTACTCTTGATCTGCAAGACCTCCCACATCGAGCAGCTACGGCAACGTCGCTACGGTCTAGGACATCATCTTCACCGTATTCGCCGAGGCGCGAGTTGATGGTATGGACCGGGGTACCTGGAAAGGGAAGACCGATATTTTCTTTGTAGACCCCGACTGAAGGTGAGCGCTGGCGGTTACATCAAGTAACTCGAGAAGAATATCCTCCCTACATGTGGTCGCCCGTACCTTCTTGGAGACCTTGTGCTGCTACAGGTTTGGGTGCCACCACATGGAATCGAAGGGTTTTGGAAAAACTCCCGCCTACTCGGAATGGAAGAACGTTGAGTACCTGGAAAAGATCTAGTATTTAAGCGGGGGTCCTGAACTAAACCCCCTCAATTACTCGGTTCGGGAGCTCAACAGGGTGGTCTACAGTGGCGGAGAAATCAACGATCTCGCTCAACTCCGGTACCCACTCACTTTCGCGCGGCCGAATCTCTCGATGGCGCTCCTCCAGAAGGCTGTGGCGGAGTATTATAGTATTTAATGTGCTCTTTAATATGGTAGTAAAAATGTCCGATAAAAATTTAATAAAGTGTAACTTATAGCGCCTTGAAAGTCATGGAGGCAAAATGACTTTTTTTTGGCCCCCCCTGTACATTCGTTTATGATACGAAAGAACGCGAACACATCACGCACACACACACACACACACACACACACACACACACACACACACACACACACACACACACACACTCTCTCTCTCTCTCTGCCATATGCTCATACAGACTTCAACTTGTAGGGAGCCTTCTTCATGTACTTCGTGCCTTTTTCATCCACTGTTGAGTTACTAGCCCCTTTGTCATTCGTTTTGACCCCTCCCTATCCACGGTGCGTAATCGCGTACCATACCTTCACACTAATACCATGCAGAAGTGCATCGTCCATTTCTAATCTAATTGACTACAAGGATTTCATTTCACAATGACTACACACTTACTCAGTCAAACCTAAAATGTAAGTCAGAGAAGATCGATGACTTTCGTTCTAAATATCCCTGTGAGCAGTCAAGCCTGTATCAACCTCTGCATACTTGAAAGAGCATAAACGGTTACTCACACAATACACAGCAAATTCTGATCTATATGCCGATCCATTAAAAGTGATCGCTCTTCTTTCAAAATGTGCTCTAGAAGCGTCCACATCATTCGTCGACCACGTTCGTCTATCCGAATCCGCTCACAAATATCCGAAAGCCGAACGGATGCAAGGTAATAGAGCTGAAAGAATAACAGCATAATGGTACTTCATCAAGTGGCCATCTCAATATAAGGCAGTCTATTGGAAAATGTGAGCCCTAAAGGCGTGCAATATCAATTCGAAGAGCAGCACGGTTCTCTGCTCACATGATTTCGAATGAGTGATCTAATTCCGCTTACCTTGCTGAAAAACGACATATGTGCACTACATGGAGGTGGTTGATTATGAGGCACAGTGTTTGGATCCACCTCGTAGCGCCTTAAAAGATCATGACTTAGAGAAATTCAGAGAGCGACTCAATGGCGTCGAAACAATTACCAACATTCTTTTGGCAGGTGAGATGATGACCGTGCTTTTCATGTTACCCCATGCTTCTTCGCAAGTGGGAACGCTGTCTGGTTTGCGACTCAACGACGTCCAAAGTGGGCTACCGTGCGTCCAAGCCAGCTCTTCCAAGACTCGTTCTTCTAGCTAGAACAATGGTGTTTTTTTTACACGGAGGAAATCGGGACTGACATGGAGGAACTACAGTCTTCCGAACTCACTTTGTTCAAATGGCGAGCCATTTCCCGTGTCAACTGGGGTTCATTACGGATGACAACTTCAATGATTTTTTGGAAGCTTATGGCTGGCAGACCACAAACCTGAATAGTGATCGATTTAAGGACACTTGAAATGTGATTTTCTGTCGCACGACAAAAAACGCAGTAAATAAAGACTGCAGAAAGTAAGAAATTTATGTGAGGAAGTAAGAAGAACAGGAAAATGATTTGGGAAATGTGTCATTGATGAAGACCTCCTAATCATTATTGGAGCTCCTTCCTCTCGTTGTCGAGCAACCGGTGCGCAAAACGTAAGTCATTTCATCCCTGACAAGGGCAAGAAACACCACCTGCGCGTAGCTTTATCTCTCCATGATAAATATCACCACTGACCCATTGTTTTGTCCTTGTATTAACTTGTAATATT